GGTTCAATTTTATCCCAGTACAGCCCCTACATGTAACACTGACCACCATGCTCCCTACTGCCTAAAGGCAGGTGTGTTAGATTTTACTCCTCCCTCAGAGTTTTTCAGTATCCTTAAGGGAATTGGGGCAAGGTCATCTATACTCTCTGAAAATGGCTCCAGCTCACACTGATGGTGTTCCCCTAAGTATGGAAGGGGGGGCCCCTGAACCCCAGTTCCATTTAGCCACTAACAGGTTAGATTTTGCAAAGAAATATTTCCTTCAAAAGATAAATTCACGATTATACAAACTTACTCCCTCATCACATGGAAGCCAAAATCCTCCTCCCTTTACCACCATCACTTCAGTGGTGGTGGTGAAAGTGTTGGGAGGGATTATTTAGTTCATAATTTAACTCAGTTCCTGTGGAGCCCAGTCCCAAATTCTAAGTCCAAAGCCCTGCTTGGACTCAAGACCCCAGCACCCTGGCATCTGCAGGCTTCCCTACCAGACTAGCTAACTGTACCATCCTACCTGCAATCTTGGATCAAAGGTGACCATGACTTGAACTCCCAATCAAGAGGGGTGGCAAGGATCCCTGCCAGCACCTGAAACCGAGAAGGACAAAGACACAGAACAGAAACAAACATTCTCCAGCCCCATCTCTTTGAGCCAGGGTAAAGAGAGAAGGAATAGAGGAAGTCCTTTCCCTGTTACCGGTTCAGTTCATGGTGCCTGCATTGTGGGTGAATTGTGAACTTCACCCTCTGGATGTAGGAGGAAAGAGTGAAGAGGAAAAAACAGACAGAGAAAGAGAGACAGAGGGAGAGAGAGAGTCAGAGACACAGAGAAAGAGATGGAGAGAAAGAGAGAGAGAGAGGTCTCATTCTTGAAAGTTTTGAAGTTGGTTGTGTAGCCAATCAAAGGCTACCCACTTACGTGGCGGGCAGGGGGCAGGGGGGCCTCCAAGGCCTCCATGTTAGCTAATCTAAACTTGCCACAAAAGTCCCTCAAGGTTAAGCAATTTGGGCATGCTCAGGTTACACATATAATACTGCAGTGAAAATCTTTGACAAAAAGCCCTTTTTTGTGTTTTTTTCTCACAATACTTTCCCAACAACAGAATTATTGGGTATTATTGAGTATGTTTTTTTAAACGTTAACTGCATTCTGCTATGTAGTTGTCCAAAATGATTCTACAAGGTTACAATTGCAGTAAAACTAAATGAATTCACTTGTTTCATCACAACTCTGCTAGTGATGAATATCATTGGTTTTCATTATTTTTGCAAATTTGACAGATGTGAGATGATACCTCAAATTGTCCTAATTTGCATCTCTTTAATTTTCAATAAGATTGAGCAATTTTTTCCAAGTGATTATCAACAATTTGTGTTTCTTTTCAAAATTATTCATAGATTTTGACTATCTATCCTAGAATGGAGTTACCTTTCTAAATTTTTAAGTTGTTTATATATTTTAGATATCAGGTTTTTGTCTGGCATATTTGCCATAAATATTTTCTCCAGTCTTTGATTTTTATTACATATTTCTTTGTTGTACAGATTTTTTAATGTTACCATGGCCTAGCATCTTAAGATCTAGGATTACATAGACCAGATTCAGTCTTCAAGGTGGTTTCCTCAAATCACTCTCTTTGGTTTGTGTTTCCCTCTTCTCTCTCCTTGCATCTGAGAACTCTTAGAATATAGTTCAGTCTTGATTTGTGTCTATTTCCCTACTATGAGAGTAAAAGGGTCCTCAGAGTCCATATAAGTCCACAACATATCCATATCCATGTAACATGTATTAGGTAAATGGTAAAACTTACAAGGCAAATGCATATATTGGGTATAGTTCATTATTTATTTCTTTATTCCACCCCATAGAAAACCCATAAAGGATTCGGTGTAGTCCATAAACAATTGATACAGTTCTCCTCTCATGAGTCCCACCTTTTTCTAGGATCCTAAAGACTTCCAGAAAGAAGCCCACCCGATGGTTCAGATTCCTCTCAGACTTGGAATTGTACAAAGCAAACCCCCCTCCCCCTTCTTATCAGACCATCACCATCCAAATAACTCAGTAACAGCAGAAGACAGAGTCTTTGGACTAATCTAACAAGATAAGCTCCAAAAGGAATAAAATACAGTCTTGTACTTAGGTATAAAAAGACCTCCCCCTTATTTAGGACTTAGACTTACCTGATTGTCCTCCCGTTTCAAAAACCACCTGTGAATCATAGAATCTGAGGGTTGGAGGGGACTTCATAGGCTACCCAGTCCAACCTACACATTAAAGAATCCCATAACTTACCCGCCAAGTGATGGTCTAGCCTCTGCTTGGAGACCTTGGAGGAAAGGAAATCTACCATCTCCTCTCAAGGCAAGTCATTCCACTTTTGGACACTTTGAATTGTTAGGGAGTTGATGTTTCCTGACATCAAGTCTAAATTGACATGTTTGAAACGTGTATCCATTTCTCCTGGTTTGAGTTTTTGGAGCCAAACAGAACGAATCTAATCCCTCCTCTATGAAACATGACAATGGGTTGTTCAGGAGGACTAGCACCTCTGGTGTAAGGGCTGCTCATCTACCTTTAGTGTCCACCTGTCACCCAGCTCTCACCTGTGACTCCAAGAAGCTGCAGCATGTGCATTTGCCACACTCTGGTAAAACCATCTCAGCTAAAGGTAACCAACAGGCCTCACACCCATTGTGAATTAGGGGGATGTCTACCCCAAGCATGTGAAGATTTCCCCAATGGAATGGATAGATGAGAACAATTTGTTCCAACAGCCCCAAAGGCAGTTGAAATAGGTGCTGTAGAGTGCTTAGAGCTCGGTCAGACATGGAAGATGCCAAAGTCATCCACTGCATCCCAGGCCATCACTAGTCATCTTGACTTTTGTCCTACCACTGGACTTTGATGATTATGGAAGAAAGAGTGAGGCTGATGACTGTGCAATTTTGCCTCCCTTAAATCCAATTCACGAGCAAGTCAGTACATCACCTTATGATGTCATTGGTCCTCTTTGAAAATGAAGGACAAACGACAGTCCATCAAATACTTGAACATGGCTATCTGTCCCCCGAGTTGTCCTTTCTCCAGGCTAAATAATCCCAGTTCCTTCAAGCAATCCTAGTGTGATGTGGACTCAAGGCAATTCACCATACAGGTGGATGCTCTCTTATCTTATCAATGCCCTTGTGATGCCCAGAACTGAGTACAGTACTTCAGATGAGGTCTGGCCAGGGAAGAGTACAATGGAGACGGTCACTCTCTCCCTACCCTGATCCTTAGAAAATCTGTACCTCTTAGTATATCCCAAGCTTGAGTTCTCATTTTTGGTAATCCACACTGAACTTTCAGTTCACTAGGACCCCTAGGTCTTTTTCAGAATTGCTGTCTTTCTGTGACTCCCCAATCTTGGGAAGTTGAGGTTTTTTATACCTAAGTACGAGACTTTATTTTATTCCTTTTGGATTTTATCTTGTTAGATTAGATCCTGACTTGGATCCTGACTTTTATCATTCCCTCATCTCTGCTTCCTTTTCTAGATATTAACTAACCATCTCTTTAATAATACACTCTAGATTTTTGGTCTTGGGATGTAATTTGACCTACAATTTCTCTAGTATTAGGCACGTCTATGAGAAACTCCTACTTGGGGGCACCGAGAGGTTAAGTTTGAACGTGTCCAGGATCATATAACTAGTATGTGTTGGAGGAGAGACTTGAACCCAGGTCTTCTAACCCACTTCTTCGCACTACCTCTCAGGTGTTGACCTTAATACCCAGCTAAGATAATACTAAAAAAGAAAATTATAGCCCAGTTTCCCTAATGACATTAAATAAAATATTCACTAATTGATCACGGTAATACAATAAAATATTATTCCTCATGACCAACTTAGGTTTATATCAGGGATCAAAGGCTGGTTAAAAATCAGAAAAACTATCAACATAACAGAATAAATAAATATTTTTTAAAACTCATATGATTTTTTAAATAGTTATATAGCTATCATGAAGGAGATATTAACCAGTTTTTCTGGCCTGTGATTGGCCAATTTGACAAAACAGAGGCCGGTGAGTCAATGAGGAGAAAGGAGTTGGGGATGATTTCTGAAAATTTTAGCTTTAGTAGGTTATATGCAAATTACATGCCAGATAATATGACCAGTACTTGGTGGGCTAGAGAATGCCCTAGACCAGAGGTGAGGAACATGCCCTAGACTACAAGTTGCATTGAGGTTTTGAAATGTGAAATTTAAGGGAAAAACCTGGACTTCTGTAAATCTAACACCTTTCTGCCTGGACTTACATTATTATCTATGCCTGAATGTATTACCTGGCCTATAAAACACAGAGTAATTTAGGATGTTATAAATTCTAGCAATAAAATAAGATTGTATGTGTGTATGTATATGTGTAGCTGTTTCAACAAAAAAAAATTATGGAGGCAATATTACATCATTATTATATAGTAAAATACGTTTTTGCTATATCCTCTTCTTCCCAAGTTGTAAGTTCTATGTGAGCACAGATAATATATTTTTTAAATCTTTTGCTAAATTTTCTTTTTTATTATTATGATATTGACAAACATGAGCATTTCCATATACAAAGAAGAAAAGAAAAAGAAAATTGTATGTGAAACTATGAATCCCTATTACATATACTCTGTTCAAGTATATATTCAGTTTAACATGGTAGTTCTAACACAGTCCATAGATAGCATTTTAATTATCTTTGTCTCTCTCTTAGTGTGCCTAGCATTATGGCTTATATATACTAGTCATTAAAAAATGATTGATGTGTAAGTGAATCAGTGAATGAATGAATCAGTGGATGAATGACTATCCCTCTTCCCTATAGTTCCCACTGCCCATTGGTTTGATTTCCAATGGATCTAATAGTTTATTCATTGTACCCCTTTGATATGTTGTGAATCTTACAAGGTGGATGGCTAGCAATCCTTGGATCTTTTCTTTTCTTTCTTTTTTTTTTTTTCCAGACACAGCTCATGTACAAATGGGCGGAGCCAAAAACTTGCAGTGAGGATCTTGAGGGAGCGGTGAAACTTCCAGCCTCTGGAATGAAGACCCATTGCCCACCCTGTAACCCCGGATTCTTCAAAACCAACACCAGCACCTGTGAGCCCTGTCCCTACGGCTCCTTCTCCAATGGCTCAGGTAACCTGTACTCCTCCCCTTATGTCCTGACCTATTGCACTATCCATTACCCTCTCACCCTACAGTGGGTCTCATGGGTGGGTTGATCATCCCACCCTGAGCCCTGAACAAAACCCTCTGTCTCCTGAGGAATGCGCTTGGAGCCAGATGCCTCTGATCTGAGGGGGAGTGCTGGCCTGACTATCATCCTGGGATATGAGATACACCCCTTTCAGAGTTCCATTTCAGAATCTCTTCCCTTCCTTCTTCTAGCAGTGAAATCTTACAGACACCGGCACAGGAGTGAAGGAAATAACTTGGGTATGAGGCAACTATGTCCCAACAACAGGGGCTGCTTCTATCTGTGCAGAAGATGGTACCACTAGGTTTCCCAGCCCAACCAAGCTAGCCCAATTGGACACAGCAGAGTCCAGGAATGATGGGGAAGAAAGGCGTTGGGGATGAATTACATCCAATACTAAGAACTGCATTTGCTGGGCTTGAAGATGCCCTGAACTATAAGATACACCAGGGTTTTAGATTGAAAAATTGGGCGAGAAGCCTGAACTTGTGGGTATCTAGCACTTCTGGCTCTTTTTTTGCCTTTGCTCTCATCATTCTGGCCTTAAAATACAGGTCAATTTTTTGTCTTATTTGGAGTTTGTTAAATATGGTAAATGAGAATTAGAATTTTTTGAGTCAGTAGATCAGGCATTTTTTAGAACAGAACTTAGGACTGCACCTTTTTTTCACTGTCTGACTATTGTTGTCATTAACCAACATGGCTGCAGCTCCATTTTGGCTCAGTAGGGTCTTCCTGTTCAGTAATTCTTGTGTTTCACCTCCTATTAGGCTGTATCAGCTGCCCAGCTGGGACTGAACCAGCCCTGGGTTTTGAATACAAATGGTGGAACACCCTGCCCACAAATATGGAAACTACCGTTCTTAGCGGAATCAATTTTGAGTACAAGGGCATGGCAGGTAAGGGCCCTCCCCATTCCACTCCATGACTCTATCCTCTACCTCTCTGTCCACCTCCGTGTCTCTGCAGTATTCCCTGGTGTCATTGATGCCCTATAGAAATGAACTTTGCCTTCTAAACCTTGTAATTCTTCTTCCTCTTGTCCTGACGGTTTCAAGGTCTTTGACCAAAGTAACTAAATCACCTCATGAACCTCTTGCCTGGGGACCAAGGGATTCCATCCATTTCAGAAACTCATTTTGCCTCGTTCTCTGAGTTTAGTCATACCTGACTCTGCTGCTCAGGGTCTCAGGAATGCACCTTCTTCTCCCTGATTTTCCAGGCTGGGAGGTGGCCGGTGACCATATTTATACAGCTGCTGGAGCCTCAGATAATGACTTCATGATTCTTACGCTGATTATACCAGGATTCAGGTGAGGAATATAAACTCCCAGAAGGGGATGGAGCTGAAGCTGCCACATCTAAATCACAGAATCCCAAATGTTTCTAAGAGGCGGCTCTCAGGCTTGAAATCTGAATGAAATCATGGTTTCCTGACAGCCACACATGCGAGTTTACCCTGCATAACCCTCCTAGTGCACCATAGCATCCCTGTTATCTTGTTGCTTAACAAAATTACATCAAAGCTGGAAGGGATGTTAGAGATCTAATCCAAAGCTTTATTTTACGGATGAGGAAACTAAGGCCTAGAGTGGCTAAGGGACCAGTCACACATCTACTCAGTTGTTATTGTTGAGTCATTTCAGCTGTTTCCAATTCCATGACCCCATTTGGAGTTTTCTTGGCAAAGATACTGGAGGGGTTTGCAGTTTCCCTCTCCAGAGGGTTCCCTCCCTCATTTTACAGAGGAGGAAACTGAGGTAAACAGGATTAAGTGACTAGCTCAGGGTCACCCAGCTAGTAAGTTGAAATCTGAGGTCATATTTGAACTCAGGAAGACGAGTCTTCCTGACTCTAGGCCTGGCACTCTTATGCACTATGGCGCCACCTAGCTGCCCTGATTTACTCAGTTACAGAGCTTACACCGGATCACAGACTTTCATAACTCTCAGGCCAGTTTTCTTCCCAGTACACAGTGTTGCTAGCTCTCATTCTTGTCCCTTGATGTTACAGGAAAGGTATCGTCATCTGGCCTCCCAGAGAAGAGGGATTATCCCCTTTTTTTTATCCTTTTGTCCTCATTGGACAAGAAGTATTATTTGAATATTCCCTCTCCCCTTTTTTAAGGAGGATGTGACATGGTATCCTGGAAGAGGTATTGGACTAAAGAGGCTGGAGGGGACTAGTCATGGCTTTGTCATTCACCTTGGACAAATCACGTAATCCTTCTGGGCCTGCCTCCGTATCTGTATACGAGGGCCCGACTAAAAGAAGCTCCCAGTCCCTTCCATCACTAGAATTCTGTGATTCCCCCAGACTTGGACCCCTGGGACCCCAGGCTAAGATCTTCCTTCTCCCCCAATGGCAAACGGAACCATTGGCTTAGGAACAGAAGACCTGGGATGTGGGGGCCCCTAGAACCAAGGAGGAGGGCCAGAGGAGGGCCAGAGGAGGGCCAGCCAAACTGTTGTTGGATTTCTCTAGATTCACCGTGAATTCTCTGTTCCACTTATGCTTTTCAAGGAAAAAAGACCAAAACTCTCTGATCAACTTTTCCTTTGCCAGTATAACTTCACCTCTTCTTCCTTTCTGCCCTGCTTGAATCCAGTCATGAGCTTATCATGAGAAGGATTATCTACATTTTTAGGAATTTTGTTGGTATTCCTGTCCCTTTCTAGTGAAGCACCTGATCATCGTCACATAGCCCCCAGCGCTGTTTCTCTTGGTTCTGCATAGGTCCAAACTGTCAGACGCATTTAGGGAAGAGAAGGGTTGTTGTACCCTCGGCGCAGGAAGAGCTGGGATTTGAGTGGCTTTCTGGGTGGGCACAGGCAGGCCTTTGTTAAAGAAACCAGACTAGAGACCAGAGGGCCTCTTCCAGAGCACCCAGAGCCTCATCCTGCCCCCTCTCCCTTTTGGCCTGTGTTGTTCTTTTTAAATTGATATTTATGGCCCCCCAGAAGTGACATCTGGCTTCTGCTCCCACAGCCCTCCACATTCAGTGATGGCAGACACAGAGAATAAAGAGGTGGCCAGAATCACTTTTGTCTTTGAGACTGTGTGTTCCGTGAACTGCGAACTTTATTTCATGGTGGTAGGTTGCTTTCCTGGCCTGTTGAGGTACTTTCTGGGACCAGAGGGAGGGTTAACCTCATCTACTCACTCTGTTAAGCATCTACTGTGTGGGAAGAGGGGGTGGAGGGGAAGGACTTATACATCAGTGCCCCGAGGAGACTCAGAAGAAAAAGAAGGCACCCATCCTTGTTCACAGACTAATTATGAGTCTAGTGATTACTCTAATTAGGTCATCATGATCTACTTCTACATTCACTGCCATGAGGAAGGCAGAATGGAGAGGCCAGGGCAGGTATAGGGAGGGTTCAAACTCAGTGCAAAAATTCTATCCCTGTTTTGGATTCAGGGAATGAATTCCAGGACTAACACACCAGTGGAAACATGGAAGGGACCCAAGGGCAAACAGTCCTATACTTATATTATTGAGAAGAACTCCAGCATGAGCTTCACCTGGGCCTTCCAGAGGACCACCTCTCATGAAACAGTAAGATCCTCCACTTACCCTAGCTGTCATCCCAGGAAGCATCACTGCTCAGGAAAAGACAATTGGAACAAGGGAGAATTCTCAGAACTAGCCTGGGAGTGTGGGGTGATGCTTAGAGCACTAGGTTTAGAAAGACTTTAAGAGATCATCCCATCTATCTTCTCATAACCAATCTGGGACACTTGTTTCTGCTACCTGAGATAAATAACCCCGATCAGGCAGGTAGGGATTTATCTTATTCCTAATACTTTCCTGGGTAAGTGGTACCAAAGCCCTCCTAGATAACCAGTCCCAGAATCTAACAGCCTCTGTCTGGTATCACAAAGATCTCCTCAGTGTCTATTCTAGATCTGGCCCTGTGTTTAAAAGGAGGGAAATGCCTTATATAATAGCTGTTTAGTGAATATTTGTGGAATGCATGGATGAGAAGTAGAATGAATACAGCAACCACAGCAGAGTATTTCTCGTCTTATCCCCTAATTATAGGATAAGAGGTCAATCTGTGGATCCCCAGCAACCTCAATTGTGGATTCTTCCCCTGGGGCTCGAATACTTATCCTTTGATCTCTTTCTCCTTTCTGTCTTGGTTCTAGGGCCGGAAGTACACCAATGATGTTGCCAAGCTCTACTCTATCAATGTCACCAATGTCATGGGTGGGGTGGCCTCCTACTGCCGCCTCTGTGCCCTGGAGGCCTCTGACTCTGGCTCCTCCTGTACTTCCTGTCCCGCTGGCTACTACATCAACCGGGAATCTGGGGCCTGCCACTCCTGTCCTAAGGACACGTTCCTGAGAGCACACCAGCCCTATGGCATCCAGGCCTGTGTGCCCTGTGGCCCAGGGACCCAGAGTAACAAGGTGCCACCCAATCAACTCTACCCATTCAGTTACCATGTCAGATTGGCTGCTGTTTAATCAAGTCAAAGGGATCTTAAGCATCTGAGCTCTAGCATATTTCCTGGGCATATACCCAGGATGCTGGAGGCCCAGGATATGTTGGCCCTGTGAATGATATACCCTTACTTTCCAGAGCCCAGTCCTCCCTTTCACCTTCAGGGGATGGCATGGAATTGAGTTCATCTTGTCCCCTTCCTTTAGGGATAAATAAGAGAGATTAGAATCCATCTAAACCTAGAGGGTAATGAGACATTTATGTAGGGGCCTAACAAGTGAACATGTACATTTTTCATAAAAAGTGGGGGAAAGGAGGGGAAAGAGAAGGAAGGAACCATGGTGCCCCAAGTTTCCAGCCCGTTTCAGTCTAATCCAGCCTGATTTCATAACAGTTTGTCTAGTCCAGCTTTGGGAATCTAACTTTTTCTTTGGAGTAGCGTTACATCACTGTCTTCTAAGGCATGGAGGGGACTCTTGCCACATCCATCCCTTTCTTGCCACGGCACATCATGACCTCCAGGCTCAAATGAAATAATGTTTATGTGAAGCTTTATGTAAAGGGCTTTGCAAACTTTAACATGCTCTGTAAATGTTAATTATCATCAGTTGATTAAGGTTTCTGAATGGCTTCCTCCACAAGAGGAGCAAGGCGTAAGAGCAGCTGTGAGTAGTCTTTCCACAGAAACCTAAGAAGTCAGGTTGGGGAAGGGAGGGGAGGTGAAATAAGAGACTTAGGTTGTAGACCAGGGTGCTTCTGTCATGGAAACCTGCAAATCACCTGTGAATCAAGGATGATGAAAGGGGATGGGGGAGGCTCCTGGGTTTTCTTCTCTGGGCCTAGCCACCCTTCCTTTGTCAGTAACTCAGTCTCCTCTGATATAAAATGAAGAGGCAGAGTCCTGGGTTAAATATGAAGACGGTGTCTTGAGAGAGGTCCGTTTTCCGTTATGATCACTCATTATTATCAGCGCTTTATTGCAATTCAGTCCTTATTCTTTTCTCCCTCTTCTTATTCTGGGCTGGTTCAATTTGGGAAAGTGCCTGGTTGGGTTCCAGCCCCAGCCTTCATGGTAGCTCTGATTCATGCTCCAGTCTCAGCGCCCTGAGGGCCAGACTGCTGACTGAGCTCCTGTTCTTCTTTGCAGATCCACTCACTCTGTTTCAATGATTGCACCTTCTCTGTTGCCGATGCAGCCAGAACCTTCAACTACGACTTCTCAGCCTTGGCAAATCCTATCTCTCTGTCTGGGGGACCAAGCTTTACTTCCAAAGGGCTCAAGTATTTCCACCATTTTACCCTCAGCCTCTGTGGAAACCAGGTAAAATGTATGCAGGTGTATATTTAGGGAGAGAACTCGGGAAAAGCTGCTGATGGAGGAGGGACAAAATATTTGATGGCCGAGAAAAAAAAAATGGTGGGGAAACAACTTTTTCCTCCAGGATATTTTTTCCTTGAATAATTAAAATTTGAGGATTATCTTTTTTTAACTGTTTTTGAAAATATGATTCAATAAATATTTATTAAATGCCAATGTGCAAAGCAGTAAGTGGGGTGCTGGAGAAAATATAAAAAATAATATGAAATAATCCTTGCCCTCATGAAGCTTATGATTTAGTGAAAGGGCATAATATGTAAGAGAATAGTTTATCATGCAAAATAGAAAAAAAATACATGAGGAGAGGAATAGAGAAAATACTGTCTGGAAGCCCAGAAAAGGAAAGATCATTTAAAGCTGAAGGGATTCTTTTTTGGAGGGTGAGGGGAAGAGAATAAGTATTGATATAGTACCTACTACATGTCAGGGACTGTGCTAAGTGCTTTTTAAAAATATTGTCTCATTTGATCCTCATAATAACCTTACAAGGTAGGTGCTATTATTATCCTCATTTTACAGTTTAGGAAACTGAGGCAAACAGATGTTAAGTGACTTGTCTAGGGTCACATAGCTATTAGGAAAAGTCTAAGGCCAGATTTGAACTCAGGTCTTCTTGACTCCAGGCCCGGCTGGGTATGCCACCTAGCTGCCTAGGATTTAGAAAGTTCATTGAATCTTGATGGATACTTAGGATTTCAGTAAACAGAGAATGGGGCAAGGGGGTGGGAAGAGTATTTAAGGCATTGGTTATAGCATGAATACAGGCCCCAAGACAATAAATCACTAAACACGAATGGAGAATGGTAAGAAATCTAGTTTGCCTAGAGTAGTATTTGTGAAAGTCTGCAAAGTAGGTTGGAGTCATAATTGTGAAGAAACTTAAAAATAAGGTTAAGGCATTTGAGTTTTGATGGCTATCAGGAAGCTATTTGGGGAGCAGCTAAATGGTTCAGTGCGTAGCATGCTGGTCCTGGAGTCAGGAAGACTCATCTTCATGAGTTCAAATCTGGCCTCAGATACTTATTAGCTGGGCAAGTCACTTAACCTCTGTTTGCCTTAATCCACCAGAGAAGGAATAGCAAACCACTCTAGTATCTTTGCCAAGAAAATCCCATGGACAGTATGGTCCATGGGTTCACAAGGAGTTGGGCATGACCAAGCAAAAAGAAATTGCTTAAGAGTTGTGGGAGAAAGGAAGACATGAACATATACACATAAGGAAAAATCTGGCAGTGGTGTCAGATATGATCCGGAATGTGTCCTTGTCTGTACTTTTCACATGATTATCAACAATGTGGGTGAAGGCATACATTGTATGCTAATAAAATATGCTGTTGGCACAAAGTTGGAACTGATAGCCAACTGGATGACAGAGTCGCAATCCGGGTCAAAGTAAGAGCCCCATCTCTGTAGTTCAAGAACTTGGGTTCTCCTGAACTTGTCTCTCCCCCCCCCCCCCCCCCCCCCGTTTCTTACTCCCTTTGTGATCTTGGGTTAGACTCTCAATCTCCTTTATGTCCTTATCTGTAAATGAGGCAGGCTGTACTTGATGTTCTTGGAGGTCCCATCCAGGTGTGAATCTGTAATCTTGGATTTGGAATCAGAGGACCTGGGTTTGAATCTTTTATTTACTGTTTATTAGAGGCAATATGACGTAGGATCACAGAATCATAGATTTAGAATTGAAAGGGATATTGAAAGCCATTATCTATAACTCCTTCATTGTACATAGCGGATAGAGTCAGGAAAACTTGAAATTCCACCTCTGATGCTTATTTTCTTAACAAAGTCTCTTAGCCTTTTTGTGCCTATTTGCTCATCTGTTTCTAATAAGCAACCACTGATGTGGCCACAGGGGCTTAAGTACTGTACTCTCTCACTTCTCTAAGAGGAGGTTCTTCTACTCTGGACTCAGCCTGGACCAGGTTCAGTCCTGGAGTGGGGGGGGGGGGGGGGCCTGGCTGATAATGAGAGGGAGCTTAAATCTTCCTTTCCTCACCCTTTTCACCTTATTGAACCTTACCCCAGTGCCCCCTGGCTAATTTACTTACAGCTTAAGTTTGGGATCATATCTAGGATTTCCCCCCCTCCAAAAAAAGTAGAAAGGTACTCAGTGTACAATGTGAATCAGGTATGGAACAGTTAGTTATTTCCTGCACACAGAAGAAATGCTCAATACCAAATACTCGCAAGAATAAATTTGACAAAAATAAACTTAAAACAGGATTTAGTGACTTAGAACTACTGTTGTAGTCATCTGGGAAGCTGACAAACCTCAGAGCAGTATGTGGGAACTTCTGAAAAGACATGGCCGAATTTCACTGTCCAAATAACTCCCTGTTATTCACCTACCAGTAATCATTTTGTACGTTGAAGAACTTTCCCTTGACCATAGTCAGTTAGGAAGCATTGGACCTCTGGACCTCTTGAACCCACTACTCTAAGAGTAGACACATGCACCTTGAGGTTGACGCTCCTGATCTAATCAGGAAAGGAAACACAAGGCAGAAAGTGTAGGTAGGTAGTGGAGAGCCCCTATTCTAGTTGTCTTGTGAGAGCATCACCATGATGCCAGGGTGGGAAAAGAAGGAAGGAAGGAAAGGAATAAACATTTATTGAGTGCCTACTATGGGCCAGCTATTGTGTTACAGGCTCTACAAATATTATCTCCCTTGATCCTCACAACAGCCCTATCAGGCAGATGCTATTATCATCCCCATTTTACTGTTGAAGAAACTGAAGCAGGCAGAGGATAAGTGACTAGCCCAGGTCACACAGCTAGTAAGTGTCTGAAGCTGGATTTGAACTCGGGTCTTCCTGATCCAGATCCAGCATCCTATCCACTGTGCCACCGCACTGTGCATCCCCGCTCCGTGAATGCCTCAAAGTTCCGTGATGCCACCTGGAGGGTTGAAGGAAGAGAGTAAGCCCACAGGTTGTCTCTCCTTTCAAAGGTCTACTGAGTCATTGGCTCCTCCAGCTCAGCAGATAATAAAGGGATTGCTTCAACATCCCGAAGTGCATTCTCTACAGTGATGGGCCACTTTTAGTGAAAATCAGTCCCATATATATCTATATCAAATGTTGACTTTCTCTAATGCAGGGTTGGGGAGAAGAGAGGGAGGCAACTTGGAACTCAAAATGCAAATGAATGAATGAGTAAATGAATGAATGAATGAAATCAGGTCTCAATGCTCCCACATAGTCGTCTCAAACCTGAAGTGATCTCAAACCATTTCACATGGAAAATAACTCTTCTTCACAAAAGAATGAGGATGCCTGATAGTCTCAAACTCCAAGACATGGGATTTGGTCTTCATTTTCTCCCTAGCTTGTAATTAAGTCTGAAATGAGTCATTCCCTATTCTGGACCACAGAAAAGCTGAAATCTTGGACTAATCAGTTTGTCCTCTCTTCTCCTTTGAAGGTTTTCCCTAACTGTTGATCCCTTTCTTCCCCAGGGTAAGAAAATGGCTTTGTGCACAGATAATGTCACTGATATCCGGATCCCAGAGGGGGAGTCAGGCTTCTCTAAATCCATCACTTCCTACGCCTGTCAGTCAGTCATCATCCCCTCTGAGGTGACAGGCTATAAGGCTGGCGTCTCCTCACAACCTGTCAGCCTTGCTGATCGACTTGTAGGTGAGTGGCACAGCCAGCCAGGTCTCAAGTATAGAAGAAAGGTCCCAAAGTTATGCTAAGCACATAGGAGTTGGCGTTCTTGTTCAATCGTCCAGGCGTGTCTGACTCTTTGTGACCCCATGACCCAGAGCACACCACGCCCATCCATCCTCCACCATCTCTCAAAGTCTGTCCAAGTTTGTGTTCATTGTTTCCGTGAAACTATCTATCCATTTCCTCTGCCATCCCCTTTTCCTTTTGTCTCAGCATCAGGCAGGGTCTTTTCCAATAAGTCCCATCTTCTCATTATGTGGCCAAAGTATTTCAACTTCAGCTTCACTACTTGACCTTCCAGTGAATAGCCTGAATTAATTTATTTAAGCATGGACTGATTTGATCTCCTTGATGTCCAAGGGACTCTCGAAAGTCCTCTTCAGTGCCACAATTCGAAAGCATGACCTGTGTGTTTTGGATAACCCTGTGATCTCAAACTATGACCTATCTGTCTTGAGTAACTGCCCAACATAGTTCATAGTTTCACTGAGCTATGCAAGCCTCTTTGCCATAACAAGGCAGTGATCCAGGGGAGCAAGCACATAGGAGACAGTAAATACTTGAATGAACAAGTGAATGAGTAAATGAATGAGAAAAAAAAAACTACATGCATCAATGGTTAGAGATTCAGACTGGACACTTGAACTTCTAGATTCTATCTCTAATTCCATTCCCAGTTCACCGTGTTTCTTTGTTCCTTTTTTGGACCTTTGCCCCGTTCATTAGCTGCCTCCAGGGATAGGATGATATATAGATTTGCAAAACCTCTGGTGAGATACAGGGCTTAGAGGAATGGGGTAGTTCTCAGCTTGTGTTCCTACTGAGAATTAATTGGGAGACTTTGTTTTGGCAGGGGTGACAACAAATATGAACCTAGATGGAATCACCTCCCCGGCTAAACTTTTTCCCTCTGAAACTCTAAGGATGCCTGATGTGATCTTCTTTTACAGGTGAGGCACTATTCAGAGATCTGGTATGTAAAGAAATTACACTTGGTTGAAGTAGAGAGTTCTTTGGCATCCATCCATCCATCCATACACCTCTCCTTGGCCATACATTGATATAAAATTACTATGACCTGTGAAGCATCTGCCCATAAAGTACAGTTATGGTCCATTGTCTGCAGCATCTTCTGGAATTCTGTATTATCCTTGGGGCAGTCCTGCCCTGGGAGCAAGAGGGAGAGCTTAGATGGTCTAGACCTCTTTAAACTAAAGATTCTCCAATTCTGTATCAGTCAATCAGCAAGTATTTATTAAATGCCTACTGTGTGCCAAGCACTGTGCTAGGCACTGGGGATACAGGTACAAAGAATGAAACAATCCGTACTCGCAATGATCCATATTCTTGTGTTTTGTTCCCCTAATGACTTTAAAATATTTTCTTTTTTCTTTTAAATTACTGTCACCTCTGCCTCCACTATGGAACCTGTAACAAATAAACTCAGTCAAACAAAACCACGAACACATTGGCCATGTCTGAAAATGTATGCTCCATTCTGCCTCTGCCATCCACCAATTCTTTGCTGTACCATCACACCCTCTGATCTCCTCCTGATTCTTCCTTTTCCCCTTTACTGAGGCCCCTGATCTTTCCCCCTCCCACCTTTTCAGACATGAATAAACCAAGCCAATACCAGTCATCTAGGTGGTCTCCCTTTGTGCATCCTTATGGCCGGCAGAGGGCCTTAAGTCCATGCCGGGTTGACTCCTCAGGAGCACCAATAGGTGTCTGTGGTCTTCCCCAAGTGGTCTGGATTCCTTTGCAGGTCTAATGAGGTGACACAATCCTGTACTTCTGGAAGGTCAACCACTGTCCGAGTCAGATGCAATCCACTGAAACCTGTCCCTGGAAGCCTCTCACTGCCAGTGTAAGCATAATAGATGGGGAGCACTGAAGCCCATATTCTCCATTATTCAGGAGATGGTTAAAACAGAGGGAGGTAGAAAGCATCTTGGGCCTCCTCATGGGTCCTTGGGGATACAAAGAGCCCTGAAACCTCAATAGACTCAGGAACCAATCAATCAAAAAAGCACTTATTAAGTGCCTACTATGTACCAAACACTGTACTGGGCTTTAGGGATAGAAAGACAAAAATTAAATAATCCCTTGAAGTTCTTGAGGGAAACAACATGTATGCACATAAGTAAATGCAAAATACACACAAAGCAAATAAATACCAGGTAATCTCAGGGAGGCAGTTGTAGATATTAGCAGCTATGGGCAACAGGAAAGGCTTCACGTAGGAGGTGGCCCTAGAGTTGAGCTCTAAAGGGATCTAGTATTTATGAGGTAGAGGTGAGGAAGGAGAACATTGTAAACATGGTGGGGGGGGGAGGAGAGAGACAGCCTTTCAAAGGCTCAGTAACGAGATGGTATGTCATGGGTGAGGAACTGCGGAAAGGCCAGTTTGGCTGGACTATCAGGTACGTGAAAGAGGGAATACTATTTAATTAGCCTGGAAAGGTAGGTTGGAGCCAGATTGTGAAGGGCTTTCACAGAAAAAAGGAATAAACCAATGGAAGACATCAAATCTATCCTCTACTGTCAAACGATGACTGAGGATAGCTATGGGCCATGCTGCTCTGGCTAATTTGTTCTGTGCAGACTCTCACGAGCTTCTGTCTCTGAATTCTATTTTTAAACAAATTTATACAAAGATGATTCTTTAAAGCACACAGTGACAAACTGAGCAATCTCAGCCATTGTAAAAGGCAGGGGAGGTGCCATTAGGACCTACATGAGGCACGTGGTGATTTGAAGGCTTACCCTTAGTGGCCATATCTTCTAAGGAATCAGCCAAGTAGGGACATAAAAATGGTAGGAGGGTTCAGTGGCTGAGGAGGCTATGTGAGAATCTTGCTGATGGCAGGGATCTTGATGGGCAGAGAGGTTGGGGGTACAATGAGCAATACCAAACAGAACCAGAGCATTGCACAAGGCACCTATAACATACATTATTTGTGTAGAGTCACGTTAAAACGGCTATCAAGGATCAAGGCCTCTATGTTAGCAATTGGGATGGATAGACCATAGTGGGAATCAAAAGTTTGGGAGAAATATGGAGGATCTGGGCAAAAAAAGGGTAAGTCAGGGAACCTATGACAAGGGTGGAGCCCCAGGATTTTCTACTACATGTCCCCTCCCCATGAGTAACATTCTTCTTTCTCTATCCTACTAGGAAATGTTCCGACGGGACTTGTGATGGCTGTAACTTCCACTTCTTATGGGAGAGTGTGACGGCTTGCCCCCTCTGCTCCAGCTCTGACTACCACGCTATCATCAGTAGCTGTGTGGCCGGGATCCAGGTAAGGTCGCCTGATGGAGGGTTCACTAATCCAGACAGAGTAAAGGTCTGACACTAAAATCCTCATTTCCCTACCTGACAGAGAACCACTTATGTGTGGCGAGAGCCGAAGCTGTGTACAGGAGGCATCTCCCTGCCTGACCAGAGCGTCACCATCTGCAAGACGATGGATTTTTGGCTCAAAGTGGGCATCTCTGCTGGCACCTGTGCTGCTATTCTTCTCACTGTCATGACCTGTTACTTCTGGAAAAAGAACCAAAAGTACATGACAAGATGTTTGGGTAGAGTTAGGGATGGAGGATAAGGGGAGAGGGGGAATGGAACCAGGAGGCTGGGGAGCATCTCACATCCTAGGAGTCAGAATTGCTGGGATCTTTCCCCGTGCTGGCCTTCAATCATGTAAATCAAGAGCTAGCCACCTAACCTCTCTCTGTATGCCTGTAAGTGAGGGTGGTAATATTGGCCATCACCACCAGGAGTGCATTAGAAATCTGAATAGCTGGGAGATCCTCAAACAAAATATAAGTGCAGGACGTGTTTATTTTTTTCATTTTTCTATTACCCTGAATATTTTTTATTCCCACGGTATTTGGTTATATTTATATTATGCTTTGAAATTCACCAAGGCAGCTAGCTGTTAGAAAACAGACCATTGTTTTGAGAGCCAGGATAACCTGCAGCGACTTCTCAACGTTGCCACCTCTACTCTCTGACTCACCTTCCCCTACTATGAAAGGGAAATGATTGTCTCCAGCCCAGCTCGCTTACACTTCATCAACCCAAACTAATGGGGTTGTTTTCCTGTTCTTCTCTTTCATAGACTGGAGTACAAATATTCTAAGCTGGTGATGAATGCCACCCTTAAGGACTGTGATCTGCCTGCCGCTGACAGCTGCGCCATCATGGAGGGCGAAGATGTAGAGGATGATCTCATATTCACCAGCAAAAAATCACTCTTTGGGAAGATCAAGTCATTCACTTCTAAGGTAGGTTGGGCGAGCCACACAGTACCCAAGGCATATTGCCAGAGCTAGACTGAGAAGGGCATTGGTCCTAGAAAGGAATGACCCTCTTGGAAAGCTGAGTGGCCCAGAATTACTCAGTGACCCATGATTCTGCTGCCTCCAACATCCCCATCCCTACTTTCTGTCCTCCATTTTTTTCATTCCATTCCATTCATTCATTGAACTTTCTCTAGATATTATAATACTAATACTAATACTAATAATAAGGTACTTCCCCTCTCTGGTCCGCAGTTTCCTCATCTGTAAAATGACGGCGGTTGGACTAGATGACTCCTAAAGTCCCTTCCAGCTGTAAATCTGTGGTGGTGTAATCTCTAGCTCTCCCTGGCTCCATCTTGGTTTCAGTTTGCATCTGGGAATAGTGCTTCGTCCCCCAAGGTCTTGTAGATGCAGTTTGAGCTTGTTGAGGTCCCTTCTAGCCCTAAATAAAAAATCTTTTTTCTTGTAGGCAAATTACTCAACAACTCTCTCTGGAAATGTAAACAAACCAGCCCATATTAGGACCATATAATTATATTGTAGAGAGGGTTTGATTTCAATTAGGCTGGCTCTAGCCTTTTGGAAAGCTAGTATTTTATAAATGTAGAATAGCCTTATTACTGCTCCATAAGCTAAAACCTGGCTTTAGTCCAAAGCAGGGGGGACAAGACACATTATTTAGCCAGCAGGGGGTGCCGTCCCTCAAGGCATCCTGGTCAAATCCTTCTGGGCAGAATTACCGCGATGGTCATTGTGTGAGCCATTCAGAGTTGGGAGGGATAGGGTATGCGTAGATGAGAGGGCGAGCTTGACGCTCGTAAACGTGAACACCAGACACTACTTTATGGCTGGGCACGGAGCCAAGCAGAAGGCATAGTCAGCATGAGCTGCTTCTACAGTTCTACAAAGTGCCCTAATTCCTGCCCTGTGCCAAGTGACTTAAAAGCATCTGTAGTATGTGTGTATATGATAATAACAATAACAATAATAATAGCCAATGTATATATATATATATGTATGTATAAACACCAACTATGTGCCAGGCACTGTGCTAAATACATTACAAATATTATCTCATTTTATCCTCAGAACAACTCTGGGAGGTAGATGCTTTATTATCTCCATTTACAGCTGAGGGAACTGAGGCAAACATATGGGAAGGGGCAGGAAGGATTGAAGATGTGGAGAAGGGAAGGAAAATCTGAATTCCTGAATCCTGTTCACTTTGCTAGGCATCTCCCTTCATCTTCCCTGCCTTCATTTTTTGTTTGTTTGTTTATTTGTTTGTTTTCTGGTGGGAAAATAGTCAATCCCAGGAATTTGGCAGGTAGGGAATGAAATGGGGAGGCACATTATAAAGGTTCAACGTTATGTCATAGAAAGGGTTTCATTTTAATTAGACTGATAAGGCAGGAAGCTTTTATTTTTTCTCTTAAAAACTTTTTTTTAACATTTATCCCTGGCTTTTCTAATTCCCTTGATCAATAGAGGTGTCCTTGAGAAAAACAAAACAAAACAAAACAAAACAAAAAAAATAAGAAGAAAGCTCAAATACTGACAAAAGTTCTCATTTCTATGTAAGCTATTGAAATCAGGAATTTTACCCTTCCACCTTTTCCACCTACCAAGTAGTTTCCCTATTCCTTAACCCTCCTGCAATGCCTCTCTCCCCTTTAACCCCTACTTTCTGCTTCTTCCTGCTGGGTGTAGAAGAAGACCTAAGGGTGCCAGCCATCCCCAATCACTGTCTCTCTTTCAGAGGACACCAGATGGATTTGACTCCGTGCCCTTGAAGACATCCTCAGGAGACATGGACATGTGAGGGGCCCAGACCTGCCTCCTCCTGCTTTCTTACCTAGGCAGATTGCTTTGTGAGCCCATGGTGACTTAGCTGCTCAGCTCTCTCCCACACCTGCAGCTGGAAGATTCTTTATGTGGCCTTATCATCAAATGTTTAAATTTCAGATTTTTTTATATACACACCCAAACGTCCCACCCTGCTTACCCCAGACCGGCCAAACACACCCACAATTGTCTGTACAATGGCTCCTTTGCTTGCATTTCTGTTTGTCAAAATGACCCAGCCTCCCAAAGTGTAGCTTTATCCACCAATAGTTCTAATTGTTCCAAAATGAAAAAAAAAATGTTCTCTCTTGCTAAGTATGGAGCTGACTTCTTCTGGCTCTTTATCCAAAGGCACAAATGCTCCTTGCATTTCCTCAGTTTCCCCTCAGGGAACTAGGTGCCAAGTCAGCTGAGTCCTCTTGAGCTCCTTTCCTATTGATGATGTCTTGAAAAGAAAGGTCTCCTTGCCTCTGGACGTGCAGTTGAACCTGGAATGGAGAGGACAGGTATGGCAAGTATTATATGGAGCACCATTCTTATGAAGCACGAAAAGGAGCCAGGGGGTTTTGTTTTAAGGATTTTCTCCCCTGTACTAGGTGGTACTTTGCCCTTTCTTATCACAGAGATGTTCTCACTGGAGCCAAATAAGAAAGTTAATAAAGAAATTCACTAAAGAATCTGGTCAAATATGTTCCCTACCCTGATGTTATATTCTACCAAAAGATTCCATCTCCATAGTTCCGTCTCCCTGCCATCTCCCTCTGGCCCCTAAGGGCCACAGACAAGCCCAAACTCAGTTTTTCTAGCTCTGTCCCTTTGTTTTATTCTATAACTCACTAAACCTGTAAGAAGAGAGGCTGGAGAAACCAGAATAAGAGTCAAAATTATATTTTATCCCTTCTACCATTGACAACTCTCCCTTTACTATACGTTTTGAGATGACAATGATGGTTCCTTGGCCAGTGGCCCACTTGTCCACTTTTTCTGTCTGCACTATTTAATGGTCAGTTGATAATTGATATGCTTGTACAGAATGGGTTGTCGAAAAGTTGTGTCTCTGTCCTCCATAATGATGGGGGTAGCTACAGCTGACCTAGAAATTCTTTCATTAAAACCCCCATGCTACTCTAGACCATCCTTAGTGACACTGATGGGAGGGTAGGGTTTATTAGTGGATACGCAAGTTCTCTTTTTGTTGTGGTTATTTCCTCCTTTAGGATCTATGATTCTGCTGGGAAATTCGCCCAGGAAATGCACACACTTGACTCTGTAACTCTCCCTTACAATTGCTCCTATCCCCTTAGCCCTCTCTGTTTGGTGGGGAACTTGGCAATGACAGCACCCAGGCACTCTTTCCTCTCATGGTATTTCACCTTCTGCCTCAAAGGACATGGAAAGAGCTCCCAGACCACTCTCAAGAACAGCCCCAGTCGGAACCATCATAGCCTCTTCACCCCTGATGTGCACATTGTGTAGCCAAAGTCTGGGCCCCCCCGGAACAATCTTGAACTCCAGTGATTTGGTTAAAACTTTTCCAAGATCTCTTTTCTGTTCCTCAGGGTACAGGCAGGGAGTCTATGTGGGACTCTAGGGCACCATCAGGGTCACTAGTAGCCATCTTCCTATTACTCCTTGAGCTCTTTATTGATCTTGGACAGATGCATTTGTCCAAAATCAATAAAGAGCTCAAGGAGTAATAGGAAGATGCATTTGTATTTTAGAAGTGATTTCTGTGAAAGCCCCCTGCCTTTTTTTTTTTTTTTTTTTTTTTTTTTTGCTAAGGAGCATAATCTCTTACACAAACTCTCTGAGGGGAATTGATTTTAAAATCTCATTGGGATGCCCAAAGTCCTGGGACACAAGAATTAGTCATCTTGTAAGTAATTTCTATGTTTGGCTGGGGGCACAAAGGAAAATTATGATGTATTCAAGGACCAGGGGATTTCTTCTGCCAACCAAGAAGATTTTTTTTGTTGACTTTTTTTGGCACAACTGTACCTTAAAGATAAGACTGACTATATTTATACAACAGAGACTTTGTAATACATTTTTCAGCTTTGTGAAACCAAAATTCTGTCTTGTCAAAACAGGTTGGATTTCCTTTTTACACTGTTTTCCAAGAATTTGTAGTTTGTTAGGGGATGGGTATTGCATGTAACATGTGTGTGAAATAAAAATGTACCTTTTGGATTTTTTTTTTCTTCAACTTGGGGAGTAGATGGGTGAATTAGGAATGAGCATTGACAGGCTTTGATGGCAAGCAAAAATGAACTGAGCGCTCCTCTGTAGTTTTAGGGCTAGCTGACCGCATTGATCATTCAAGAAACATTTATTAAGTGACTGCTATGTACAAGTCACTGAAGGAGAGAAGATAAAAGATATGGTACCTGTTCTCAAGGAGCATACAATCTAGTTGGGGAACTGGAAACTATGCTAATAACTACAAGATGTAGTTTGGGCCCTGTGAAAACATAAGTCTCTAAAAGCTACACCCAGGTTTAAGCCGTACTTTGGTTCAGCAACTATTAAAGACTGCAGCTCATGAGGACTATTAAATTCTGTTTTTTACCAGACCAAACCAGAGGACACACTAAAGCAATTAAAAAGGTAAATAACAAGGAACCCCTCCCACCAACAAATACAGAAACACATCCTTGTTTGCCACAAGTGGGAGAAGGTACATGCTCAACCCAGAAAACTCATTCTCCTAATGCTGCATCCCATGTAGAATACCTGTGAACTGAGCTTCCACTTGCTTCCCCATTGAGTTGCTTGCTTGCTTGCTTCCACTTGCTTCCCCATTGAGTTGCTGATCTGATTTCCCGAACTCCTATTGCCATCTCCTGTTTCTCTGTTGAACTGCAACTGCTATATTGATTGCCTTTTCCGTATAAGAAAATGGGTGCAGATCTTTTGAGATGACCTAGTTCAGTTCTCTTGTGAGTCTAACCCATAGCCACACCCAGCCAGCATTAGACAAAATCCCTCAGGGCAAATCTGTCTCAAATTCACCTTGTCCTCCTCTACCCCAATATCAACTTCTTTAGCCCTGTCTCATATCTGAGTTTGGGCAACAGCCTTTCAGCTCCCTTCATTAGAGCTGGAAGGGAACTCAGAAGTCCACTAGTAGATCCCTCTCCCCTCATTTTAAAGATTGGGAAACTGAGACCCAGAAAGGTTAAGTGATTTCCCCAAGATCACACAGTAAGTGGCAGTGCCATGATTAAAACTCTAAGCCCAGTGCTCCTTCCCTAGTAAATCTGCTATTTACAAGCAGATTAGCATTAAATTTCACTTAGCAAGACTATAGGGGGCAGAACTGGCCACTTTGAAATTATACTATTGCAGCTATATTCTAAACCACAAAATGTTAGTGCATAAAAGAAGTACAAAGCACTTTGAAAGTTCAGAGAAGAGATTACTTTTGGAAGAGGAGAGGGAGAGGGCATATGAAAGAAGACATCATGCAGTAGGTGGCATTTGAGCTGAGCCTTGAAGTATAGATAGGATTTCAAGGCAAATATGGGTGAAGAGGCCATTCTACACTTAACTAATGGCATAAACAAACATATGGAAGCAAGGAAGCATGGGATGTGATTGAGGACATCCACAAACGCAATAAAAATAACTAGTATGAGAAGGCTCATAGAATGCAAGGGTACACAATATGTGAACGATAGATTAATTATAACTACTCAGGCAACCAGATTTTCCTGCTTCTACACTGTCATTAACTCTAAGAGCCCTCCTCTGTCCTCACCCAGGGACTCTACCAAAATGGAAAGCTTGAGTTTTATTTTGAAAGTTCTATCACAAAACTCCAGACTTCCCCTAGCAGTGTTCCACGGTAAAGATGCCAGGACTAAGAGTCCCAGAAAGAATTCCATGGGTTAAATGTTGGTTCTAGATGAATTTAAAGCACTTCTTTTCTGTGAAGTGTTAAAACACACTTTTCTGTAAGAGTGTGTTTTAGTAATACATCACTGTATTAGATGGCTTTGCTTAACTTTTCTAAGGGAAAGTATCAGGGATGGGAGTAGGGGAAGGGAGAGGTTAGTAAGAAGTGATTGTTGGGTCCAGATAAAATATATCAATATATTTAAAAACCCACTGTTGGCTACTGATCCTACCACCACAGAACCCAGATAAGCCAGGGATAACCCAGATAAGCCAAGGGAGGAGCTGACAGGAGAGATGCAAAGTGAAGGGGGCTAAGAAAGGAGATAATTGGGAGCAAGCAGGGTTTTTGTGGCTTTTCAATTATCCAGCTTCATTACACGGCTGCCTTTATATCAGACTGATCTAGGGCACCTCCAGGACTAATAACAACAATCCGTGTTTATATAATACTTGAAGGTGGAAAGTATTTTCCCTAAATCCACACTATGAAGTAGATAAACTGACTATTTCTTAAGCGCAGACTGTACCAAGCACTATGTTGGTGGAGGAGGTGAGGGAAAGCTTGTGGAAATACAAAGACAGAAACAAAGCATTCCTGGCCCTCAGGGAGCTTACATTCTAAGTAAGGAGGGGGAAAAAAAACATCTGCAAGTAAACAGTGAAATTAGTAGTATCCTCATTTTTCAGATGAGAAATCTGAGGCTCAAAGAGATGGAACATCAAAACCAATTTTGAACCCTGGTCTCCAACTCTAGTCTAGCTGAATTTTAAAGGGGATGGTCTGAACACTTCGGGTATCGAATGGTCAGTGTTTTGAGATTTAACTGCTATAATATCTGGACACAACTTTGATAGTGGCTTTGTTGCAAATCACTTGGTGACTCATCCCAAAAAAATTATCTTCTTCAGCCCTGTAATTCAGCCTACCAATATGATGGTTTGGGAGGAGTTTCAGGCATATCTTGTTTCCCTGCCTTACCACATCTCTGACTCAAGGATTACTTCTCTCTGCACTTGCTTGCTATTGGGTTTAGACACTATTACCCTAGGCAAGCTGAATTCGAAGGGGGCAGGTCCAGACAGCCTTGCTTTGTAAGCCTCTCTGCAAGTGTCCACATGCCAGGTCTGCAGCTGTCAGCCCTGTTCTGTGGCTCAGGGCCCTTTGGCAGAGCCTTTTGGAAAGAGGGCCAAACAGGGTGTAGGTAGATGGAACTAAAATGTTTTTGGTAGACCTAGATTCAGAATTGTTAAGTAAAGTGGTGCTCTGTGATCTGCTTATGGCTAGCACTGGGTAACCGATGGAAGAAATAGAGTAGAACAGGTGGTTTACCAAATCATCCCCCTCCCCACCCCTCTCAGCAGAGGACTTCACTCTTCACTGTAAAAATTGAGGCTATCCATTTTTATCTCCAATTTATCCTACATGTGCCTTGTTTGTCTGTAGCCGTTTGCATGTTATATCCCCCAAGAGACTTAAGATCCTTGAAAGCAGGGACTGGGTGTTTTTGGGGGGCAGGGCAAGGGGCTCCGTCTTTCTTCATATCCACAGCACTTAGCCCAGTGCTTGGCACTTAGTAGGCGCTTAATAAATGCTTATTGACTTGACTTGCTTTAACATCACATTCATTGCCCAATATACCTCTCTACTCTTCCATCCTCACTAAACCTTCCCTGGTAATGGAGGGAAATCCACTGACATCCTGACATGTATATATGTATAGGTATATATGTACGGGTGTGTATGCATATATATGTATGCATGCACATATGGGTAGATACATATATGT